TACTCGTCCTCTCTCTCTCTCTCTCTCTCTCTCTCTCTAACACGCACACAATCACCAGCATCTGATGCTCCTGACGTTGGCACCGTCTCTTCTCAGTTACTCTAGGCCATCTGTTTATCACCTAAATGAGTCTCTCCCTATCTTGTTGAAAACACCTCTGAGTGATGATTCTCTTGTGAGAATTCAGGAGCATCCTGGGCTGACCAAGGGAGAGAAGAAGAAGATTTGCAGTCTAATGGACGTCAAAAAGCTATCCATGGAGGCGTGTGTCCATGCTGCACAAAACGAGCGTCTCCCTCTTCGCGTGGTAGTTCAGGTCCTCTTCTTTGAGCAAGTCAGGGTCTCCAACGCAGGCCTAACCACATTAGTGGAGAACCCAAATGAGTGTGGCTCACATGAGAGCTCCCAGTCAGCTACAAACACAGACGAAGAGTGGGATCACACTATAAATGAGCTCAAACCGCCAAAGCAAGACTTAGGTTTTGCAGCTAAAATTGGGTCAGGAAAGAAGAAAAGTAAGGTTAAAGTTGGCGCATTATTGCCTTCTAGATCGAGAAGGATTTTTGATAGGATTTGGCCGAGCAAAGGGGAGACCAGGAGTTCAGAGACCTCAGGGAGCTCACAAAGCCCAACTTCAGTGAACCCAATTGAGGTGAAATCCACCACTGGTTCAAGGAATAGGAGACATTCTGTTTCATAGTTGGTATTTGGTTTAGGTGGAGGGTTGGCGTTTTGCTGTAAAGGGCACAAAGGGCTTTTTGTTATGGTTTTGAAATGATTCTAGTGTTTGTTAGGCTTCTTTTCCCTTCTTTTTTTTTTCAGCAGGCCAAGGGGAATGGAATGGTGGGTAAGGTGGACTAACTGGTTTTGGGGTCTCTATTATGCTCTGGCTCTGCTGATGTATCATTATCTTTCTAACCACGTCTAAATCCTAAGTGTAAGATTTTGTGTGTGGATCTCTCTCTCTCTCTCTCTCTTTCTCTCTCTCTCTCTCTGGTTTGGTAAGGTGGGGCTTGATCTCATTATCACAGTTCAAAATGCAAAGACCTGTTTCCTAATTCCTTTTTAACCCAAAAGAAAATTTGAGGTGTTACTATGGGAATGGCCATCTTTTATCAAATTGACTAATCTTGATATGTAACTTGAACTTATATGACAATTTTGTATTATTGTGCACGCCAATCTTGGATCCAGTTAGGGCTACCAGCGGGCTGGACCGGCCCAAAATTCCAAGTGAGGCCCGGCCCGGACTGAAGACCGTTAATGGTATGTTAAAAGACTTTATTGGTCTGGTCCCGGCCAGCCCATTGAGAAACCTCTTTTTTTCTAAAAAAGAAATATTATTGGTTTTTATTTTTTATTTTATCCCACTATTCAAACTTTTCTTAGTAGTAAGCCAAAATAATGCTAAAATATTTGTTATAGAGAGAGATTGGGTTATAAAGAGACATTCGGTATTTAGAGAGAGAAAGAGAGATTGGCTCTTTAGAGAGAGAGGCTGGTTTTTTTTTAGAGAATGGAATATTGGGTTTTTTTTGAGAGAATGAGATATTGGGTTTTTAGAAAGAGATTGAATTTTTAGGAAGAATGGGTTTTAGAGAAAAAGAAATTGGGTTTCTAGAAAGAGATCGAATTTTTAGAGAGAAAATGAAAATTTCTTCATAGTGATAACTAAAATGTTTCCAAATATCCCCCTCTGATTTATTAAATGAATCTTACTAATTTGCAAAGTAGCTTTGATTTGAGAGAGGATCCTGGAGACTTCCTATCAGAGAGAGTATGAAGCCCCAAATTTGCATACCGTTCAAGAACTTCCGCATAACGAGCCTTTGCATCAGACTGCATATTAAGCTTCACCAGTTGAGAATCCCCATGGCTAGACACCTTGATTTTGATGAAAGCCAATGATGATAATATTAAGAATCTTTGGTTGTTCTTAAAGCTCCACGAGCTTATTTCAGGACCTCGAATTAACATGGACAAGTAAAAAATCATTGGAATCAACTCTCTCTTCAGAAAAGTCAGCATGGGCGTCGTGGTTGGAATGTGATATTGAAACATTCTTCAGTAAGTACCTATGTCTGTTGCTGTTTAATGGATCATATCCTAGATCCCTGTGGGATCATCTCATACAAAGAGCTTTATTCAAGTTAGACGGGTGGAAAGTAAGATTCATGTCCTTTGCGAGTAGATCTGCCCTCATTAAAGCCACTCTGCCTAACCTACCCATTTATTATCTTTCTCTATTCCAGGCTCCTACTTCTATAATCCGCAAGGTAGAGTTTTTTATCAGAAACTTTCTTCGGACTTGTTCCCAATCGAACAAAAAATTTCATTTGGTAAGTTGGGCATTCTCCCTAAAAAGGAAAGGGGCCTAAGCATATGGAGATTAAAAGCAGTCAATGAATCGATGATAACCAAATGGTGGTGAAGGCTTGCCAATAATAGGGATTAACTTTGACATCCTTGGCAAGTACGGAAGGGATTCTGATGGCTTTACTGCAAAGAGATACCCAAAACTGTTTCAACTCTCACCAGTTTGGAGGGGGATTCAAGGAGTTAGACTTCTCTTTCTGGTCTATTCAAGAATTTTAGTGGGTGATGGAGCCCAAGCACGCTTCTGCTATGTACTAAATGGATGGGTGATGATCCATTTAAACTCCTTTATCCTGATCTCTACAATAGATTGATGCAAAAACAGGCGATGCTTGCTAATATGATATCCCTCTCTGGGGACCAACCGATTTGGAATGTTAGGATCAATACTCAAAGGGTTAATGCTTCTATTGCTGAACAGATCCAGATCTTGTTGGAGTTATTGTACGCCTTCTGCTTATTTCCTGGGAAAACAGATAGGATCATTTGGTCCTTGGATCTGGGTGGTGTGTTCTCGGCCTCTTCTCTGTACCATGAGATTAATAGGGACGCTACATCGAGAATAGGCCTTCAGTGGCTAAGTTCTGGAGTTGCAAAGTTCCTCACCGAGTCAAAACCTTCTTATGGCAGCTAGGCTTAAAGAGACTCCTCACCATTGATCATCTGAGTAGAATGGGGTTGATCATTACCAATGTTTGTTTGTGATGCAAAAGTGACGAAGAATCAATTGACCATCTTTTCATCCACTATACTTTTGTCTCAGCTTTGTGGGACTAGCTGTTGGGCTCAGCCAATTGGATTGGCCCGAGATATACCGAGACACATGCCTTGATGAAACAATTGTAGACCCCTCCTTTCTTTATCCTGGGAGTTAAGCTTTGGAGGATTTCTACTGTAGCAGTCTTATGGAACTTGTGGAGGGAGCGAAACTTGAGAACATTTGAAGGCTGCAACAAAGACTTGCCTTCTTTCTTTGAAGTTGTTTAGTGTTTCATTGCTACTTGACCTATTCCTTTCCCCCCCTTAAAGCTGTTCCCAGGGGCATACTATTCACTCCCTACCTCCAGGTGCTGCTATTCAAACCTAACCGTCCTACTAAGCGTTTTGTTTGGAAAGTGCCTCTGGTTGGATGTGTAAAACTTATCTTCAATGGCAGTGTGAAGGGTCATATTGTTGGTTATGGGGGCTTCCTTCGAGATCATTTGGGCTCAGTTATCTGGACGTACTCAAGGACGCTACACTGGTGTGAGGCTAATGAAGCTAAACTTTGGACCTTGAGACAAGGAATTTTTCTTTTATACCCTACAGTCATAGGGTGATCATCGAGGGAGACTCGGCTATTGTCATTTCCTAGTGTACTCGCCCGGACTCTACCCCTTGGAGGCTGAGTGGTCTCACAGATGAAATTCTTCTTTCGTGTAGATTTTTTGAGATCACCTTCTCTCGCATTGTTCTTGGATTTAACTTAGCAGCAGATTTTTTGGCAAATGAGGCTACCACTTGACTGATCGCGGTTTTTTGTTCCTTCTCTTATTCTCTCCTTTGTCTCTCTTGTCCTATTTCCCTTTTTTTGGTTCTTTTTATTTTTGCTTTTGTTCCCCGTGTAACCTTTCATTATCTTAATCTCATTTTCTCAAAAAAAGAGAGTCCCCATGTCTGGAGTCAACATATACAAAAGCATTGTAAAGATATGATATTGTGGAGGCAACAAATTTCTCGCCCAAATGCTCTAATTTGAGCCCAATACCCCTTTTTTTTTTTCAATGTATGATAACAAACAAATGCAGCAGTCCAGCATGATCACTAAGCAAATACTGGGAATCATTAGTGTCAACTCTCCCATGGGCTCTTGTAATAGATGGTCCGCACCTTTCTTTATTGAGAGAGAGATAATAGGAATCGATAAAAAAAAGGGATAAATGCATTGACACCTTTCTTTATTGAGAGAGAGATAATAGAAGTTGATATATAAAGAGATAAATACATTGATGCATTTCTTTACTAAGAGAGCGAGAGAGAATAAAAGTTGTTATAGAAAGAAAAAAGTGTCAAACACATAAAGAGGTAAAGGAAAAACTTGTATGTATTAACTATTATCAACATGTATATATAATACAACTAGATAGAGACAACTTGTACAACAAGATAAACTACAATAGGTAATATTCCTATGAAATATACACTTTTTATATATAACGAAATAAATCTCTTCAATGGTCTCCACATTGCTTCTCAAACTGAGGTTGGTTGAACAACATCAGTTTGTCAATGAGATAGTCATGACGAATACGAGTCAATGTCTTGGTAAAAATATCCGCAAGTTGTTGCTGTGAGCCAATATGTGGGAGTGTAACTTCTCCGGCCATGAATTTTTTGGAATAAAATGACAATCAATTTCTAAATGCTTTGTGTGGCTATGTAACACTTGATTAGAAGCAATGCGCACGACGCTCATATTATCAGTATGCAATGGCTTAGGAGGTTAACGAAGAATATTGAGGTAATGTAAAAGACTTCTCAACCAAGTAATTTCATTGCAAGCTGAGGACATTGCTCGGTATTCGGCTTCTACAGAAGATTTCGACACAGTTTGTTGTTTCTTACATTTCCATGATATGATAGAGTCTCCAATAAATATATACCATCTAGTGGTCGAATGTCGAGTATCTGAGCAATCTGCCCAATCCGCATCAACATAGGCTTGTAATTAGAGAGAAGAGTTAGATGAGCAGAATATGCTTCTATGGCATGTACTTGACAGATAACGAATGATATGGTGGATAGTTGAGAGGTGGATGCGACGGGGATCTGCAACAAATTGGCTGACAACTTGTACTGCATGATATATTAGGACGAGTCATAGTAAGATAAAGGAGAATGCTAACCAGTTGTCTATAAAAGTTGGCATCTGGAAGTCTATCCCCGTCATCCTTTTTATATTTTACGTTCACCTCCATTGGTGTATCCACCCATTTATCATCAGATAAGTTGACAAGTTTGATCAAATATTTAGTATACTTTCGGTTAATTATATATCCATTAGGGAAATAATGAATCTCTAGGCCAAAAAAATAAGTTAACGGACCCAAATCTTTCATTTTGTATGAGTAATTGAGAAGCTCTTTCAAGTGTTGAATACTGTCAACGTTGTCTCATGTGATGAGAATATCATTAACATATAATAGAAGAATTATTATACCTGAAGAACAATGGGTGGGTAAATAACGAATAATCATGAGCACTTTGTTTCAACCCATCATTCAGAATGACCTGTTGAAACCGTTCAAAACAAGCTCTTGGAGCTTGTTTTAAACCATACAATGACTTTTTTAAATGACAAATCATAGACTTGTCATGGCAATACTCAGGAAGGTCTCATATATACTTTCTCTTTCAAATGTCCATGAAAAATTGCATTTTTCACATCCATCTGAGAGATAGTCCACTGACAAATAGCTGATAGGGCAATTACTGTACGTACAGTGGTCATTTTAGCAACTAGAGCAAATATTTCGTCATAGTCTATACCATACTCCTGTTTGTAACTTTGAGTAACTAGTTGTGCTTTATATGGTACAATCT